CGTCGGCAAGAGGCACACGCCAGGTAGGCGCGCTCGCTCGCGCTCCGTCGTCGCTCTAACACCGCCAATCTTTCCTCGCCGCGGACACGTGGCAACCAGCCCCACCGCGACGTTGCTTTCAACAGGTTCCAGCTTTGTAACCGACGGCCTCTATTCCAGCGATAAATCAATCTTTTGAAAGACGGGTGGCGAGTATTCTGCACAAGTTTCACCTGATGGAAAACATCTTTGCCCCCACCCCCCTTTTAAAGTTTCGCTTTGTTGCAGCGAAAATTCGCAAAGGACGGCAGACTGCCGATTTCCAGGACGAGTGGAAACAATGCAAAGGGGCACGTCGAAAACGACAGTCGGTGTTGCGAGACTAGGATGAAAAGAAAAACGGCGGTTGGTAGCGAGCCGCATGGGTAACTTGGCGTGTCTAATAAACATAAAGGAGGTAGACTCTCCGCGTTTCCTTTTCTTTTCTTTTTGTTTGTTTGCTCGTTTTCGCGTTTTCCTCGGCTGGCCGTTTCGACTGTCTCGTCCCCGGCGGCCGCACCCGGCCCCTCGTCCATCGTGCCACCGTCGTCGAGCACACCTTCGCGGACAATTAATTTACCTCACGGCGTAGCCCGGAGTCCCGCGAGCTTTACAGGCGTAGTTTGCGGCCGGCCGTCCAGAAATGGAATTGGTTTCGCCGGTTAAGATACGATCGTATACGTACGAGCACACATCCTCGCCGAGTAGCGTTGAGAAAAACGCCATAACTTCGAGTCGTATATGGCGGCAATGCACAGGTGCATGCCACCGTGCATCTACCCCCCTCTGGGCCTCGCTCCCTTCACCACCGTCACCACCACAGCCGATCCGCCACAGCCATCCAACAACAGCAGGCACCCCTTCTTCGTGGACCCTTTTCCTCTCCTCCAGCCCGCTCGATCGAACGTGCGCGCAGAATGTCAATTGTTCAAATGTCCTCTCTCTCACTCTCTTTCTCCCTCCCCGTCTATTCTCGACGCACCTCCCCCCTCGTTGCTTGTTTCCTTTGCTTCTTTCCCCTCCGTTTTTCACGCGATTCGCCTCTCTGTTTCTTTCTTTTCCAACGTTGATCTCGTAGTTGGACATTACCGTCGCAGCGAGGCTGACACGGTTCGGGAGTGGTGAAAAACCACGGGAAAGCCGCGAAGGATCTACTAGAAATCTTCAGGGAATCGATCCTGCTACCAAATTCTATATTCTCTCTTACCACACCTCTTGTCCAGCGAATCGACAATTATTTATTTATTTCAGACAATACTAATACCGTACAAGTACAACTTTGTGTCACTTCTCCCGTCCCGAAATCGAACTCTCTCTGTTTCTCTCTCGAAAGAGAGACCCGGTTACCGGTGGATATCGCGAAGCTCGACGTCCTTTACCCCTTCTTCTGCAGTTCCATTATCCTCTCTCGGTTGCCGAGCCATTGCTCGGTTGCCAAAGACGAGTGGTAACGAGCCGGTAAAAAATAATTAGTGTGCCCGCCGACTCGCAGGTTTCTAGAAATAGACCGGTCGGCATAATCGGTCGGCCGATTCCGAGACCGCTTTGGAAACCTGCCGGTGGCTTTCCGAGTTGCCGAGGTGATACGTACATGTGCGAGGCAGCGCGCACGCGAGCTCCAACTCGAACGCGACTCTCGGCTACGCGACGGAATTTGCGAGATAAGACAAGATCCGGGCGTATAAGAGCGTAACACCGGTGACGTCTGAGACGCCAGATCGTTGTGTATCACGCGACACCCAGTCTGACGTTTATTAGCCGATGAGATAACGAGATAACGATTTCTTACTAACCTAGAGATCGACCGGATCGACGCGAGGATCCACCATTCTCCACCCATCTGCAGTGGAAATCACTCCTCTTTTGTCAAGTTTGCTCGCGAGACAGACCGAAACGATGCGTGGCTACTTTTTTCACCGATGCATGGATACTTTTTGTACCGAGCGGAACAGCGGCGACGTCGATAACGAGAAAATAAAGGCGGCAAATATGTATTTGAATCTCAATTGAAAATCAGTACAGAGAAAAGCAAGCCTTCGGGGAAACGTGCGTCGTTGTACGTAAAATTAAATGAATAATATCTGTCGTGTTTTCGTTATTAATTCTCCGTTAATTCGTTTTGAAGCAGAATCTGTTCGCTAGTAACTTTTCCAGTAACGTTGACAAGGGTCTAGGATGTTTTTCTAACCTCAAATTTTTGAGAGATTAACAGCTACATACTTGTATCCGATCTTTTCCGAATTAAAGTTGATTGAGAAAGATTTTTCTTGTAATAATTTCTTATCTTATAAATATTCCACTGTTCAATCTTACTTGAATTCCCTGGTAATATTTTGACAACGTAGAATTTTTTTTTCAAACGAAAATCTAACCTTAAATTTTTAAGAGATTAACAGTTTGTTTTTTGTAGTCGATTTTTTTCAAATTGCAATAAATTAAAAAAGATTTTTTTCTTACAATAATGTCTTATTGTATAAGTGCTCCACTGTCGAATTTCCTGGTAACATTATGACAAGAAGGTGTCTTTTTTTCAAACGAAAATCTAACCTCAAATTTTTAAGAGATTGACGATTATACACTTGCAGTCGGTTTTTTCCGAATTGCAATAAATTAAAAAAGATTTTTTCTTAGAATAATGTTTGATCGTAAATATTCCACTGTCGAATAGAAAAAAATAGGAAGGAAGCTCGTCTTGATGGCTAAAAGATATAAATATATGTATTTTTAACACGTGATTATCCCAAAATACGTCAACAGATGCCATATTTATCGGCGCTCGTAATGAAAGGGTTAATTAAAAGAAGTACGTGTATAATAATGGTAACAATAATTATGAATTATGTCTTTATTTGCCGCGAGATGATGGATGAAGTGAACAAGCCGCTTAAGCTTCGAGCCTTCCTCATAAACGTCGATGTCACAGTTTCTTCGACGAGTATCAACACGTTGGATCATCCTGTTATCGCGAGGGCTCGTACGACGAATCGACGAGGATCAATTCGAGAAATAAGTTTGTACGTCAAGAACAACGTCTCGAGGAGAGAGGGAGAGAGAGAGAGAGAGAATAAAGCATTGGGAGGTTGTCGAAAGGAGCGGACAAGCGGCTTCATCGCGAGGAAGGCAGGAAGGTAGAACGCGAGAGGCCAACGAAAGACGCGCACGTTTGTCGTGCGAGTAGACGACCAAGCCGCTCGGTTTCTCTCTTTCTCCCGCTCTTGGCTTTCTCCCTGGTTTCGGCGCTCTTTCTCTCTCTTTCTCTCTCTCTCTCTCGCTGTCGCGTTCGCGGCACGCGGTGAGAGCTGAATTTATGAATGAACGAGCGAAGGGCGAGCGTGGGCTCGCCCACGCGCTTTATCATAATCGGAACCTCCGGCCTAGTCACGCCTGCCATAACTGCCTAGGCATAGAGCAAGGTTGCTCGCGTGCTCCCAACGCTTCCAGCCGACGAGAATGAATGAATGAAACCGCGACCCATTCACCGGGGATTGTGCAATTGCGAAACCACCCTTTCGCCGTCTTCCTAGACCGTCCCGGGGGAGTTTCGCGCGTCCAGCCTTTCCAATTTCCACACTTCTCGTTCGCAAGTTCGAGACGTGCGTCGCCTCGTGCAACGTAGAATTTCCACTTGTTATTGAACTCGTTTCACAGCAATCGCGACGTGGAGGCGAGGAAGAAAGCGCTGGTGAATGAACGAAGGGCACGCGTAGGCCGCGACAATCTACGACATCAGCCACGAACTTACGAAATCCGCGGCTACCGATCCGCCGTTGTGTTGCGACGATGGAATCTTTCCTTTGGAATCGCGTCGCCCGAAATCGGAACGAGATCGTGATTCTCGGCGTTAGGTGATGGCTCGAATGGCCATTTTACAAGCGACTTTACTACGTCTCTTAATGACGCGTTCCATAAATCGTCTGCCCGCTTGGGCAGTTCTTCTTGGCCGTTTGATCGGTACGAAACGACAAGCTTGTCCAAACTCGGGACAAGAAAATTGCATCACCCTCGATCGATCCGAAACTGCATAAAAGCAGTGGCATTTGAATATCCACGTGGGTGTCGGCTGATTTACGCACGGACGAGTCTAATTTCCCGTCGAAGGTCGGGGCCCGCCATCTTTCAATCGCTCCGACGAGATAATCGATTGCGACACATAACTGATCGCGAGAGACCCGCAGTCATCCTCCAATGTCGCGTGATCGTTTAGCCGATTCTCGCGAAAGTACGAGCTAAATAAGACCGATCGTCTTGCGGACGTAAAACTAACCTAGAGCTGAACCAATATACACGCATCCGGCACGGGAATTTCAAAAGTGTTTCGACTGACGATTTTCATCGAACAAACGCCCGAGTACGTGGAATCGGGACCTACCAGTTTTCGTAACTTCTTTGAACGCGCGTAACTCGCGCCAGAGCGTTCGTTTCGTCCCATGTTAATTACGCTCTACGTTTGAAATTCATCTTTAGTTGGAAGCTTCGACGAAACAACTATTTTCTACCGTTCTCCGACGTCTACCGGCAGAGTTCTCAGAGTTCATTCTCAGCGGAAGATTCACCACGTCGGTC